GGCCGGGCAGGCTGCAGGACACCTCTGTCACCATCACTATCACCCCGTGGCTCTCCTCCTGCTGCTTTTCCGGCCCCTCCAGTTTCCTGCTGAGGGGTGCCAGCCCACGAGGCACAGATTTCTCTGATTAGGCAACGCCAGGCAGGCTCTCCCCTTTCAGTTTGGGCATCCCCAGCATCCTCCCGGAGCCCAGCAGCCCCGGCACCCCCGGGCCCCGCGGGGCCATGGAGAGCAGCGACCGCCAGCCCCTGGTGAGGAAACCGAGCTCCTCGTACCGCAGCTTCCCCGAGAGCGCTGCCAGGAGGCTCGACCAGCAGTACCTGAGGTGAGGAGCAGCCTGGGGCCGCAGGGTGGGCAGGGGCTCTGCCGTACCCCCCACCCTGAGGGCAGTGGGCTGGGGGGAGAGCTGTTCCATATTCCTGCCTCTCCTGAGCTGCTCTGAGACCGGATCTCATCCTGCCCCAGGCGGCTGGATGAGCCCAGCTAGGTTTATGTGACTCCTATGGGGGCACAAGGTCTTGCTGGGGGGCACGGGGGCTTTAAAGAAGCTTTTCCTTGCTCTGCTGGGATGAACCGGCTGCCGCTGGGTCCGTGGTGCCACCCAGCTCCAGCTTCTGCTTTTCTGGCTTTCTTGAACCCCCTGAAAAGTGCCTGGCACAAAGGAAAGCACCAGTGGGAGCAGCTCAGAGAAAGCCCAGCAGCCTGGGGAGCCATTCCCCAGGAGAATCCCTCCGTGGGTGTCCCCAGAGCCCCGGCAGAGCCTGGGGGAAGCAGGGTTTGTGTTTCTGCCGGCACCCAACACGTCCGTGTCTCTCCGTGGCCTCAGGAGCCTCCACAACAAGCGGCTCTACCTGGCTGTGCTTGCCGCTGTCCTGGGCAACTTCAGCTTCGGCTTCGCCCTGGTTTATCCCTCCCCCGTCATCCCTGCCCTGGAGGCTCATCCCAGCCCTGCGCTGAGGCTGGACCAGCACACGGCTCCCTGGTTCGGGGTAAGGAGAGGGGTTATCCCTGCGGGGTGGGGCTGCCCGGGGGATGCCAGGCTCACACAGCTCCCTGGTTCGGGGTAAGGAGAGGGGTTATCCCTGCCGGGTGGGGCTGCCCGGGGGATGCCAGGCTCACACAGCCCCTCTGCATGCCCGCAGTCCGTGTTCACGCTGGGAGCGGCGGCGGGCGGGCTCAGCACGATGCTGCTCAATGACTGCCTGGGCCGCAAGCTGAGCATCATGTTCTCGGCTCTGCCCTCGGCGCTGGGGTACGCGCTGCTGGCCGGAGCCCAGGGCCTCTGGATGCTGCTGCTGGGCCGGGTGCTGACGGGCTATGCCGGGGGAGTGACCTCCGCCTCCATCCCGGTAATGTGCCAGGGGAGTGCAGGGCAGGAGGTGCTGGGGATGGGCTGGGGGTTGCGGGGCAGAGGTGCTGCGGTGCCCGAGATGAGCTGGGGGTGATGCTGAGCCACCCCTCGGATGCTCCTCGGAGGCACCAGCAGAGCCCCAGGGCTGTGTCTGGGCGAGTGGAGAGGGGGAGGATGCAGCAGGGCAGGGATGGGGACGATGTACTCCCTTAGCAGCCCTGGCATGGCCAGCCGGAGTTGAGCCCAGTGGTGCTGGACTTCCTCTCCTGCAGGAAAGACAAGGCAGGTCCTCAGGCCCTGCTCCTCCCAGCAGTTATTTCCTCCCAAACACCACCCTCCTGTTTCACACTGAGGGGAAGGCAGGGTTGAGTAACACCAGGGCACCTCTTCCCAGAAACAGTCACTGGAGCACTTCTCCCACACCGCAGGGAGAGGGAAGTGGTGGTGCTGGCCGGGCTGTCCTCTCCTCTGGCCAGATGCAGCTGAACCCATCAGGTCCCCACCCCCAGAGGGCAATTTCCCAGCAATCTGGGTTTCCTCTGCTCACAGGGTATCTGTGAGGTGACAGGGGGCAGAGGTAGCGGGTGACAAGGAGACGTTGTAGCTTTGTGAAATGTGTGTTGTCCCTGTCCAGGTTTATATCTCGGAGATCTCCCACCCGGGGGTCAGGGGGATGCTGGGTGCCTGTCCCCAGATCATGGCAGTGCTGGGCTCTCTCGTCCTGTACGCGCTGGGCAAGTATCTCCGTGGTGTCCCCGTGTCCAGGGCGTGGGGAGGGGGAGTTTAAAATAAACAACCTTCTCAGCAAGGTGAGGGCTTGTTCCCCTCATACTCAGCACCACAGCTGTGCTGAGCAGGCTGGACAGGGTCACTCATGCCCCTTGCCCTGGTGTGAGTGCTCTGAGGGATGAATACATCATCGTGAACCTGTGGCCATCGCTGTGCCCACAGGTCCAAGTCCTGATGAAGTTTTGCCAGGGCTGAAGGGATTAACACAATGTTAATCACCTGCTAGCACATGCCCTAGCTGTTGCTGGGTCTTGCTGGATGCTCTCAGATTTGCTGGAATTCCCCCACATCACATTGCTGGAAACGCTGCTGTAATAGGAGAGAATACATTTGAAATATTTTATTTTTATTATTACTGTTTTTCCTGCTGGGTTTATTAAATGAAATCATTGGGGTAGCCAGGTGGAAGAAAGGCCAGGTCACCCATTCCTGAGTGTTCTCCCCCTTCCTGTGCTGCTCTGGCAGGGCTGGTCCTGGACTGGCGCTGGCTGGCCGTGGCTGGGGAGGTGCCGGTGCTTGCCATGGTTCTCCTGCTCTGCTTCATGCCCAACTCGCCCCGGTTCCTGCTCTCCCAGGGCAAGGAGGAGGAGGCCCTGGGCTCCCTGTGCTGGCTGCGGGGTGAGGACACAGATTATGCCAGGGAGTACGAGCAGATCAAGGACAGCTCTGGTTGCCAGGTGGTTCCCCAAGGTGTTTTCACTTTGTGTTTCTGCCTTTGTCCCCTCCAGAGCCATCGGGTTTCCTGTGCTGAGCTCAAGGACCCCTTCCTTTACAAGCCCATCCTGATTGCGGGGGGAATGAGGTTCCTGCAGCAGCTCTCGGGGGTCACCTGCATCCTTGTCTACCTGCAGCCAATATTCAAGAAAACATCTGTCATCCTGGTGAGCACCTGTCATCCTGGGGTTCAGCTCCTGCTTGGGCTGCCTGTGTCTCCAGCAAGGGTTGCCCAATGCTTCCAGCTCCCTACAGACATAAAGCCCTTTTCTAAAGGACCTGCCCTGCAAAAGGCTGAGGGACAGGAGCAGGACAGCCCCACTGTCTCCCTGCTCCTCCTCTGAGCTTCAGGTTCATTATCTCCAGTCTCCTACTGGGAGAATGGCCTTGGCCAAGTCATCAGCAGCTGTAGGAGCCTGCCCCTTCCCCCAGCTCAGCTTCCCAACTGGTTTTTTGCAGAAGCCAGAGTACGATGCAGCTCTGGTTGGCCTGGTACGTCTTTCTGCAGTGGCCATCGCTGCTGTGTCGATGGATAAAGCTGGGAGGAAGATTCTCCTCTTTGTATCAGGTATGGCTCTCTCCATTTCCCCACTCTCTTCCCAAGGGAAGCTCCTGTTCAATGATTTCCAGGAGCTCTATAAGGAAGTGTGCAGGAATTGAACCTTCAGCCCTACAGGCTCAGGAAGGGAGGCAGGGAGATCTCTTTCCCTTGGTGGTGGTTCAGCTCCTCAGCAGGGGCATTCCCAGGAGCTTGGCATGGAGAGGATCACTCACCCATCACAGCTAGTATCATGTTGGTCTCCAACCTGACCATGGGGCTCTACATCCACTTCATGCCAGCTTCTCACAACGGCACTGTGGCCAACACGACCCTGGTGAGCCCTGCCCACCTCCCTGCTGAGCCAACAAACTACATCACCCTCATCCCCCTCCTGGCAACCATGTTCTTCATCATGGGTAGGTGCAGAGAGCACAGGACTGGCCACCAGCCAGGGGAGGGTGCTTCTCACCCAAGGCAGGGTGATGTGGGACAAGGAGATTTGGTTTAGAGTTGGAAGGAAGGCAGATGTCCCTGGAAGAGCAAGAAAGGTGTCAGCTGAGGTCACTTTGAGGAATGACACAAATGGGGGAGGGATAATAATTGGTGGGGTTGCAGGGCAGGATTGCTCAGAGATCTTCTGCACTCCTCAGTGACCTTCAAAGGCTGACCCCCTTCCCCTCCTCCCCTGCAGGTTACGCCATGGGCTGGGGCCCCATCACTTGGCTGCTGATGTCAGAGATCCTCCCTCTCAAAGCCCGTGGGGTAGCCTCAGGTCTCTGTGTGGTTGTGAGCTGGCTGACAGCCTTCACCCTGACCCAGTTCTTCCTCCCAGTCGTGGTAGGTACTGCCTGGGGGTGTCCAGCAGCCCCTCCTCAGCCCCTCTCTGCACCAGCTCACAGCTGGTTTCTGCCCCACTTTCCAGAACACCTTCGGCCTCGAGGTGCCCTTCCTGTTCTTCGCTGTCATCAGTGCTGGGAACATCTTATTCACAGGCTGCTGTGTCCCTGAAACCAAAGGCAGGTCCCTGGAGCAGATCGAGGCCTTTTTCAGGACCAGCCGGAGGTCATTCCTGAGGTAGGAGCTGCCCTTGCCCAGGCCAGAGGGCAAAACAAATGTGTGCTGCTGGAAATGGAGTGGAGCTCCCTGTGGGAGAGGAAGGGGCAGCAAGGATTGTCTTGGTCTGGCTGTAGAAGTTGCCAGAAGGAACTTTACCTTCTGTTCCTGTCACCCAACACTGCCTGCTGCTCTCTGCACAACCTGCCAATCCCTGGGATGGGAGCAGGTCACCAGGACCAGGCTGGAGATAAAGGCATCCTGGAAGAATAACGGTGTGGCTGTGACAGGAAACCATGGCTGTCCTTTGCTCAGCAGCCTGAGAGTCTGAGGGTTTGGCTGGAGCTCAGTTTACAGCTGGAGCTGTTCTGGCAAAAGCTCATCATGTAGCTGCAAGAATAAAACAGTTTTGCCTCCAACTGCAAGATATTGCCTCGATTTGCAGAGAAGGGAGGGATGGGAGGGGCAGAGCAGGATGAGGGGACCACAGCAGCCTGCAGCTCCCCACAGGAGTCTCAGCCACTCAAAGACCATGAAAGAGGCAGAGCCAGATCTTTTTTACAAAAAGCTGCCACATTTTATTGGTCTAAAAACACACATTACACTAGAAGCCTAATGAACAAGACCAAATACAGTTCACAAAAAGCCAGGACAGAAGAACAGACAAACATTCAGCTGTAGTGCAAGTGATTCCCTGTGGGAAAGACACAATGAGTACTGACAACACTTTGTGTTGGGGTGGGTCCTTCCCACTTAGGCTTTGACCCACCCACAAAGAGGGAGGTGGATGTGCCTCCACCTCCATCACTCTGAGATTTCAACTGCATAGTTAGTAGCAAATGAGTCTCACCCCTTTCCTGCATGTCCTGCAAGATTAAGAACTTTTCATAATTATTTTTTTAGAGCTAACCCAAGGTAAAACACAGCTGCAGGAGGTGGTTATGGCTGTGAGGAAAAAATGGCCTTGCTCAGTCCAATCTGACTCCTCCCAAAAGGGCAGAAGCACAAAGGCTGAGCTGGGACATGATGTACTCAAGCTCCTGAAATGCACTTGGCACCCCAAGGGCTATTCCTGGGACATTCAGCCTGCTGTCACAAGGAAGCAGGAGGTAAAACAGCATATTTGAGCCAGCCCTCCAGATGTGCCAGCTGCCATTTTGATCTCCTGCAGCAGGAGATGGGAAATCACCTAAGAGAAGTTGTGCTTTATCACAGCATTAATTTAAAACAGCCTAGGACAGAGGCAGAGCGGTGGGCCAAAATCAAAAACGCAGAAAACATTCAGTATTAAACCTACCCTTTGCTGCTGAGACCATTTTCCAGAAAGATGTTCAGCCCTGGCTGGAACACAACTTTTTCTAAGCATGGCCTGACTACAAGAGGTCTCAAGAGCCTCTGGTTTCCACTGACCTTCTGAAGATCAGGATTTCTGGCATTCTGTTTCTCACATGGCTATGGACCAGCTCTTGATATCTTCACTTCAGTGAAACCCTTCCCTGAAGACAGTGGATGTTTTTTCCTGAGGAAAAAATTACAGAGATGAATTGAGCTTCCCAGGGCTCAGCCTAAGGAGGAAATGCCCCACTAGGAAATGAGGTTGGACTCTTCAGCTCCTGAGAGAACCTCACTGGAGGAGCATTTTTTGAATGACCTCCTTTCTTCAGCACAGCAAGTCCGAGGGCTTTTGCTACGTTTGGAATCTGAGAAATCACAGTGGCCCTTTCCAGAGGTAGAATGGTGTTTTTATTCACTGCACACACAGAGAATCAATGGGTGTTACAAAAGCAGCTCCTGCCCAGAGCAGCGAGCTCTGCTCTGCTCTTCACGCCCCGTGGGCAGCCCAGGGGACACGGAGCTGCCACACACGAGTGGCAGAGGTGTGGAAGAGTGGCACAGTGCATCAATGCTGCCCTGGTGACTGGTATGTGACTGGCCACTGCTCCCCAGGGCTCCTTCCACTCTCAGTGCCAACAGCTCGATGTCCTCAGCGCATCACCCGCCCCAAAGCCTCACATCATCTCCTTTCCAAGGCCTGGAGAGCAGAACCTCCTCCACAGAGCCCCTGTGGATCAGCCATCCGGCCTGGATGCCCTCAGCAGGGGTTGGGTTGAGCTTGTGAAACCTCCAGAGCAGGGTTTGAACTTCATTTGTCTTTGCACAGCTCCAGGCACCCCGTGGGTGCCTCTAAACACAACAACCACCATGCACTGGCATTTAACTACTGTGATGCTACTACTCTACAGCTCCTTCCTATCTCCACCAAACAGGCCCACACTGGGGTGAGACCATTCACTGACTGTCACCACAGCTCCTACAAGCCATGGGTGCTGTCACCAAGCCTGTCTGCAATGATGGCAGCATCTGGCTTGGTTCCAGCTTCACCAGACAGCCAAAATTCCCAAGGGTTCCCACTCCAGACTGGCCCCTGTAGGAGTAACCACCCTTGGAGCATGGATCTGAGACACTTCCAGTTGTGACAGGCACAGACACTTCAAGCACTGTGGCCAAAGGCTCCAGCTCAGCTCTTTCAGGGGAGTCCCTGGGCCTATTTTCAGCTCAGGGCTGAGCTTTGCCACCCGCCCATGGTGGCAGATTGATGCAGATTTTTCCCATGCCCCAGCCCCAGAGTCAGGCCCTGCTGCCACAAAACACCGTGACAGCTCTGCTGGGACTTCTGCCAGGCTGCCAGGGAGCAGAGTGGACCCTGCCCATGCCAAGGAGCCCCAGAGCAGCCCCAGGGACCGTGGCAGGAGTGACAGATGAGGCCAGCAAGGGTCCCACCAGTTCTGTGCTTCCTCAGAGCACCCTGGAAGTCTCAGCCCTTGAGCTCTGCTTTGCCTTTCACCTCCTGACACTAAAGCTACTGCAGAACTACTCACAGAGCAAAGCTGTCACTACCAGAGACATTGACATGCATTGGTCTGCAACATTCCTCTACTAAACACTACACAACTCCCCACACCCCCTGAAATCCCAGCACGTGCTCAGCCCTGAGGCAGGACTCTGCCCTTGCATCACCCAGAGGTTATTCCCACTGGAGTATCCCACATCCCTCCTGCAGCATCCATCCCTGCAGGCAGCAGGAGGCTGTGGGCCAATGCATTGCAGTCAGCACCAGGGATCAGCCAAGGGCTGGGGGCTCCAAAACAGCACAGCTTTTATGGGAAAAAAAGCTGCCTTTATGGAAAAAAATCCAGGCTGGTGGTGCCTGCTCTGCATCCCAGACAAGGGGTGTTGGAGCAATCCCAGTTCAAAGGCAGGAGGAAAAGGGGCTTTGCATAAAAAAGGTGCCCACATCCAGCTGCAGGGGCCTCTGGAAATCCTGACTGGTGGGGATCCTCACAGCTCCTGAGCTCCAGAAAAGAAGCAGCAGCTCACAGGAGCCAGCAGCTTGAGGAAGGGCAGGGTCTAAGGAGAGTTTTCAGCATGGACAGACCCCTCTGACAGACAGCACTCGGCCTCCAGCAGCATTTCTCAGAGCACAGCACAACCCCTCTGCACCCAAGGATTCAAATGGGGACACAAAGTGCTGCTGGCTGCTCCAATCCAGCCCTCACAGCCCAGTTTTCCTCCCTCCTCTCTCCCAGAAGAGGGGGAAAACACAGTTTGTCAAGCTTGTGGCCCAGAACAAGACAAAGGGGTCGAAGGACAGCACACATTTTTTTGAAGAGTCTGAGAAACACTCCGAAGGCTGAAATTGGATTTTGCAGCAGACAGGGCTGTCCCTGGGTTCAGAGACCCCTGGTGAAAAGAGGCAGCCCTGTGAAGCACAGGAAACAGAGCACTCCTTTCTCCTATATTCAGAGAAAATGAGTCCCATCAAAATACTTCAATAACTAGAAATAAATTATTCCCCTTTTTCCTAATCAAAACAAAAAGCAACCATATAAAAATCAAATAAATTAAAATCCCCAGGACAAACTGTAATGAGAAGAGTGGGATCTGGAATTAGTGAGCAGTTTTGTACTGCATGGTACAAAGCAAACAGAAAATACAATTTGAAAACCACAGAAAGAGCCTGGAATAGCAAAGTAAAACATCCCAGCTGTCCACACTGAAATGGTGCAGCCTCCTCTCTGTTTGCACAGGGAGGATGTGCCACCTTCCCATACAAAACCAGCTCAGGATTGATGCAAAAAAACACAGTCCCAAAGACAAAGGCTGTACCAGGCAAGAAAAGAGCAGGTCCCTCCACAGAGGGATGCAGGGAGGTGACAGAGCAGAGTCCCAGGCTCACAAAGCAGGAATGCTCTTGTACATCAGCGGCCCTCACACCAGCAAAAAATCCCACTTGGCTCAAGAAACAACATCCTTTCCAGCTGAGGTACAGCAAATATTGTTTCCCTTCCGCCCCAGTAAGAGTAAAGCTTAAGAAAAGTGTCCTTATTAAGACAAAGTAATTAATTCTTATAATTCAAGTAAATTGCAGTAACTGCCTGCAGCTGGATCCAGAGGAAGCAGGGACGGTGCTTTGGAGATCCCAGGATCTGCCCAGCTCCCCTGCAGAGATGGATTTTATCCTTAGATGGGATTTTGCTGGAAGTTCTTTCCTGTGCAGTGATGCCTCTACTGCCTGGCCCTATAATTAAAATAGTGGAAGAAGACCAAGGTTAAGCACCAGGGGGTTTTGCAAACACCTAACCCTGGGTCAGGTATTGTACCTGGGAAGGGCCATCCCAGGGAGTGTTCCTAAACATGTGGAACCTGCACTGGCAGGTCCTCTGTCCCTCCTCTCCCAACCAGAGGGCAGTCCCCAAAGGAGCACTCAAAAAAAACCAAAACAAGGCTGGGAAAGCAGCACTCAGAGAGCCAGCACCTCTGCAGTAAAAAGAAAAAAAAAAAATATATATATATATATATTGAAAAATAGGGGCACTGTGAGCTGTTGGATTGAGGGCTGAGGAGAGAAGGAGCAGTGTGCTGAGGTCTGGCTGCTGGTCTGAGGAGAGGACACAGCCTGCCCCAGCCCCTGAGATTTCCAGCTGCTGCAGCATCCAGGGAAATCGTGGTGTAGCAAGGAGTGAGAGGACAGAAGGAAGGGCAGGGTGGATTTCCACGTCTTCACCGTCTCCGTGTCCAGGAGATGCTGTGTCCTTCAGAGAGCCTGTCCCTCCAGGGTCCCCGTGAGCTTCTCTTCATCCATCTGCTTCTGCTGCTCGTAGATGCGGGCGTAGGAAATGGCATCTCCCCTGTGGAGAGAAGGGACAGCAGGGGCATGGCACAGCTTGTCCCAGCTGGAGCCTGGCTCTCCGTGCCAAAGGATTCCAGGAGTGAGACCACGCTTGCAGGCCCTCTCCAACCCCCAAAGCTGCTCTCTGCCCCAGAGCTGGGCCCATCCACCCAACAGCTGCAGAAAGAAGAGCAGGACCCTCAGGACAAGCTGCTCTGAACTCCCAAAAGCTCAGAGCTTCAGCAACCCCCAGGACCTTCCCTCCCAGGGCTCTGAGATGAGGGAGGTTTCCTCTGGCCGCACTCACACCTCAGCACGCCTTGTGCAAGAGGAAGGCAAAGCCTCAGCGAGGCAAATGGGGCAAGGGCTGGAGCTCCATCTCCCCCTTCCCTGCCCTCCACGAGCAGCTGGGCCTCTCTTACTTCTTTCCAAGGGCCGACAGACCATAGAGCACCCCGGTGGCGAAAGCGATGGCGTTGCCGAAGAGCGTGGTCAGCGTCAGGCTGAGCATGACAGGGAACACAGCCATCCTGGAAGACAGGAGCAGCCCTCAGCCCCCTCATCCCCACAGGATGCAGGGATGTTCCTTCCCCGGGATGTGCCCCCAGGAGCATCCTCACCCGCAGTAGAAAGCTGCTTTCTGCCAGGCCCGCAGCTTGTCGGCCCTGGCGGACACGCTGTTGGCAAACTCGATGAACTGGCAGCAGAAAGGGGCCTCACACAGGAACAGGACGAAGGCGTTGAGCCTCCAGAGAGAGCAAACAAGAGTTAATCCTGCCTCTGAACCACCCACAGCAGGGCTCAGCAGTGCCCCCCAGTCCCACAGAGAGCAGACACTCCGTGCTCCATGCAGGTGAAGGGAATGGTGAGGCTCCCCCCGCTTCTTGATAATTTCCAAATTTCCAAGCCCTGCTGACCCAGACTTATTTTGGCCAAGGGTATCTCAGTATTTACCTAAATATGCATAAAGAAATAACACAAACAGAATAAAACTAACATCTCAACCTGCCTGATGGAGCAAGATCTGGCAATTCCCAGAGCCTGAAGGATGTTTCACACCCATCCACTGCCCAAGCAGGGCAGCTCTGCCCCCCTCAATGGGGTCTGGTTAACAAAACCTCCCTCCCAGCAGGAAAATGAGAAGAAAGCCTGCTCACATCATCCACACGCCAGCCGCGATGTTCAGGGGGTTGATGGTGACACAGTTCCAGAGACCAGCAAAGGCACAGGCTGGAAAGAAAGAGGCTTTCAGTGACCACCATGACCAACCCTATCTGCCCTTGGCCAGCACCTGTGGGCACTGCAGGGCAGCACAGGATGGTGAGTGGAAAGATCTGGTGGCCCAAAAGGAACCTGGAATGCAGGGAAGAGCCTTCCTCTGGTATTCTTTTGCTCTGAGTGCTGCTCCAGCCATAAATTCTCTTGTGTAGAACATTTGCTTCCACATGGAGTCCAGGATGTTCACCTGGATTTTATGTGCCAAGGAATTACTACTGCTTTGTCCCAAGGTGGATGAGCAGTGCCAGCAGTTCCACCTCTGGGCGAGTTCAGCAAAAACATGACTTGCACACAGGCAAATAATAAATACAGCAGAGGTGAACCCAGCCTCTGCCACTTACTGCTGGTTCTGTGCAGCTCCACCAGAGATGGGCAGAAAAGAGCCAAGTTTGGGTCTCCACTGATACAAAAGGAAGTGAAGAAAGCCCAAAATAACCTCAATGCTCCTGGCTCTGTGAGTGAGGGAGAGGAACAAGGCAGAAGAGATCAAGCTGAGCTGAATCTACCTCCTTTCAGCCTCATTAAACTTGCAGAGTGTTCCTGGCACCTGATACGGCCCCTTCCCTCTGCCAGTGCCAGGCACCGGGAACTCGAGCCCAGGTGGGAGGGCAGGAGATGCACTCAGTAAACAGCACACTGCAAAACTCCAGCTAAAATTAATTCTGTAGCCTTTAAAGGCTTTCTTGGGGATGATGGAGGGCAGCAGAGTCCCTCTCTGAGGATGAGACCAGCCCTAGATGGAGGATTTTGGGTGTCTGCTAAGGGGGATCCCTGAGCAGAGCTGCTGTGAGCAGCCCCGACCTTCAAAAGGCTGGCACATGCTTGCAAGGTTTCTTTTAAGCAGTCACTGCTGAATCCTCAATGTTCCTTTTAAAATAGTTATCCTTGTTTACCAGGTTGGGAACAAGCAGAATTGCAATGACAGAACAGATTGAAGGTCATCCCACGAGGAAATCACCTCCTGGTCTAAGGAAACACCACAAAACATTCTTTTTTAACACTTCCAGAACTAATTCTACAGGACCTAAAATCTTTTGGAGTCCTGCAAGAACAAGATCAGCTAGCAGAGGGGATATACCAGAGGATGTGCTAATATCTGTGCTCCAAGGGCACTTCTCATCCTCTGATCCCACAAGGACCAGTGTCAGTGTCCCCACGCTGCAGGGGAAACTGAGGCACGGGGGTAGGATGATCTGTTCATGGTTACACGTGCAAACAGCTGGAGAGAAGCAATGACAAGCAGGATTCCTGGGAGCTGTGGGCAGCATGGAGAGCAGGGCACAAAACAGGGGTTTCTAATTCCCTGTGACCACCAAACCCTTGGGGATGCTGATGGAAGAGGAACTCGGGGGAAGCACCCCTGAGTTTGTGGCATTGGTTGTTCCCCAGGAAAGGACATTCCTGAGAATAATGCTGAGTGATTTTCTGGCACTTTAAAACTAGCAGAGCAGCAAAACCTCTCAGCTATCCCCAAAACACAGGCAGGGCTGGGGCAGGACCCTGCCTTGCTGAGTGGCCTAGCAGAGCACAGAGGTCTGGGCAATTCCCAGCAGGTCTCCACTACACAACAAACCAAGGAGAGCAGAATGTTCTTTTCCAAGCAAGTTTTTTTTTTTTTTATTCCCTAATCAAACCAACCAGGGGTTGTTTTGCCAGGTTTCTGGTTTGGTTTTGTCCCCAAACACTCCAAAACAGCCCTGCAGCAGTCCTGGCTCAGCAAACACCCTGGTTGCCACAGGGCTAATGACCCAGGAAGCAGAGCTGAGCAAGCCCCACGTCAGCAGGAGCATGGAGCAGCAGGAAAGGAGTCAAAGGTTTGGGATCACAGGAGCACTGCCCCCAGAGCTGCTGCCAACAGCCACAGCCACAGAACAACTCGGTGACCTTGGGTCTCCTTTGCAGAGCTGCTCGTCCCACAGCAGCCTGGTACATCCTTGTCCCTCCCCTGCCAAGCCAGAGATTTCTTTTTAAAATATTTTCTTTTCGAACAGAGGCCTCATAACAGGGTTAAAATGCAGATAATGCTCGGTGGCACGTAAGCTATGGGAGACAGAAAGTTCTGCCATTTGTTTAGCTGCAGTCCCATCTTGAATCCCTGAGGAAGGATAAATAACTGGGAGCTAAAATGAGGGGGGAAGAACACCTTTCCCTACAAAGGCTCTATTCATTTCCAGCAGCTGGTCACTGTCCTCAACACAAGACTATTTTTGCTCCTAGAGCGTTTTACAAAAGCCACACGCTCTCCTCGTCCCATTACAAACAGGAACACAAGGGAGAGGAGGACTTGGCCAAGGTCACCAAGCCAGCATGAGCAGGAGCCAGAAACGGATCCTGAACCTTGTCTGTCTGGTTCTTGCTCCAGCCCTTGGATTTTTCTGGCTGAAGCAAGCTGTGGCTGCAGGTGTTTGCATGTGGCAGATGTTGTCTGCTGGTCTCACCTCCACTAACGAAATTTCTCTTCCTTTCTGAGGGAATTTTTCCTTCTGTAAGACATAGTCCAGCCCTGTAGCAGCATTACAATCCAGTTTCTCACAATCCTTATAAATTAGTTCTGTTCTTTCACAGCGAGCTCTGAGAACAGCAGCAAACCCCATGCTCGTTTATTCATCACCTCTGCTCCAAACCATCCACCTTCAACAAGGTGGTGCTGAACAAGCAGCATTTTGAAGAGGAATGTTGGCAGCACTGGGCACTGGTTGTTTTTTATCACAATCTCCCTTTTCCCTGTTCATAAGGAGAGTTTGTGCCTCTTTCCCTGCCTGATAAAGAGAGAGTCAGGGCTCCAGAGCCAGCTGTCACTCCCCGAATCTTTGGCAAACCCTGTTAAGAACCTGGCTCTTCTTCCAAAAGCTTCTCCCAGACTCACCCAAAGACATAAAACTCTCATCTTTCCTGTTGCAGAGCCACGAACAAAAGGCTGGGAAAATAATCCAAGTGTAATTCAGCTGCTTTGAAACACAAAGACAGAGAGGGGAAAATAAGAAATTTGCACTTTCAAGCCACTCACGAGGTTGGCAAGTGCCACCAGCGTGACCCACCAGCTCCTCACCCTCCATCCACATCACCCTGAGCTCTGCACGGGATAAAAGTGCAGAAAAAGCACCAAGGCTTCAGCTACAGCCACAGCCCGTGGGAAAGATGCTGCTGCTCTGAACCCCCACCTGGGACCTGCTCCACAGACATTTCCCAGCTGGTTCTCCTGGCTGCTGGGCCAGGAGCGTGGGGGCCTCCAGCAGGGCATGGTGAGGCTGGGGCGTTCAGCAAGCCCCACCAAATCCTCTCACACCTCCAGAAATTCAGCACCAGGCACAGGAAACAGAGAGAGCAGCGAGTGTTTTACCAGCCTGGCCAAAAAGGGCTGTCAGGAACCTGCCCAGAGATACCACAGGGTGAAAATGTCAGCTCCAAAACCACCCTGGGGTTGTGCAGCCCAGTCTCAAGGCTAAAGGCAGGCATGGGAAGGGGCATGGGGAGAGGGTGACCAGACACAAAGCTCCTGCTGATGGAATAAATCAGGGCTGACTGCAATGGCTGAGAAACCCTCTTGTTTAACTTGAAGTCGTGGACCTGAAGCAGAAGAAATTCTCCATCCTGTGCTCTGCAGGAGATCAGACTAAGCGGTCATAACAGTCCCTCCTGCTTTTAAGAGCTATTAATCTCTCCACAAAATGTAGCAAAACAGCACTCCAGGACAGGCTGATTTCTGGCAAAGTTGCTGAGACTCTTTCCCTGGGAAAATTTTTTTTAGCAGCAGGTAATTCTGAGCTCAGCCAACTCACTCTGCATCTGCAGCTCTGTTCTCTGTGTCCTACCAAACCCCTTAAAAACACACAGCACAAAACAAAACCATTCTTCACCTTCAGTAAAACCCACGGGCAGGCCTTCTGCAATCAGCAACAGGAGCAATGGGAAATGTGCTCTGACAGTCAGGATAAGGGGGGGGGAAAATAAGTTGCAGGAACACATAAACACCCAAAAGTCAAACAGGATAAACCAAACCCAGTCATCACTCTTCCAGCCCTGACCTGACCCCCCTGAGCCTGGTGCTCATAGTAAAACCAACTAATTTGCCTGTCCACAGCCCTCCTGCAGCACCAGGGGCTTAGCTGCTGCTCCCATCACTGCCAGGGAATGCCATTCCCAAGAAGAAACTCTTAAGATTTGCAGATTTCCCCATGACATCCCCACTGCCGGGAGCCAAAGTTCAGCAGGCTTGGTGAGCACAGAGCACATCCCTTGTGGGCAGCTGAATTCCTGCCTCTCTCTCCCTTCTGCCCCAGACACAGCAAACCAGTGCCCAGAGGCAGCACCAACCCAGCACCCCAAAACCCTCCATGGCACCGTGAGCCCACTGAGGGACCCCGAGACGAGCTGTGTCATGCAGGAGGGGGCAGGCAGAGGGAAGGGGATACTCACACATGCCCCCGATGACCCCGGCAATCCTGCAGAGCCACCTGTACCACCAGGTCATGCCCTCGTCGGCGGAGGTGGCCGCTGGCTGGGGGGCTGCAGCTGCTGGGAGCTGCTCATCCTGAGAGCTCATCTCCCCCAGCTCCGGGGGGCTCAGCGCCCTGCTGCCCACCTGAGCCCCCAGGTGTCACCCTGACCTGCGGCCAGCCCAGGGGACAGCCCCTAAAGCCAGGCCTGGGCCTGTCCCCGTGTCCCCATGCGGGGCCTGGCCCCCCAGGGCTGACAATGGAGGGTGTCTGGCTGCAGAGCGATGCCAGCAGGCCTGGAGCTGCTCCACGGCGTTCTCCAGCTGCATTGTGGGTCCCCCCCGGCAGCAGGCAGGGCTTTGCCTTTGATGTCACTCGCATTAAAAGGCTGTGGGCAGAGCTCTGCTGTTCATATTCACCAGCGCAGGCACAGCCGAGCACCCCACGCCAGGCACGGGATGCCCCCAGCAATGGGCCGTGTTATCCAGGGAATTGTTCGCTTTCCCAGCAAGGGAAACGGGAATCCTCACACTCACGGGAGATGAACGCTTCTGCAGAATTCTGCTCTGCAGATAATTGGGTTGCACTCCCCTTATCTGACTGGAATCATGTTTTCTCCCTAGAAACGGGAGCAGAAGTAGCACTTTGCAAGTAGATGCCCCAGCTGGGAACCTGGTGGTGTCCAAATGGGCCAGGGGAACACCCTGAACTCTCCGGAATTGTGAAGGCAACAGCTGCATTTTGTGCAGATTCCCATGGAACACAAGCAGAGCCCAGCTCTGCACAGTCGATCTGGAACAATAAATAGCAGTGAGACTTGGGATCCAGAGCAGAGTAGGAAGACAGATCCCATCTGCTAAAAGGTTACAAAAAGGGGATTAAGGAGAGGATGTCTTTTCATTTCTATCTCCTGTCAGACAGGAAATGAAGGCCCAGGGCCTGCATCACCCACGCACTGCAGAGGGATAGCTGATGTATCCAGCTCCTCGAGCATCTCCCTTCAGGAACCTATTTTCTGGCTCTTCCAGGAATGGAACGTAAATCTGGAGGCTGGCAAGCAGAAAACTCCCAGGTTTAACCAGCAAACAAACAGCTATTAATTAAGAAGAGTATTTGTGGTCATAGAAAGATGTCAGAGAATCCAAGTGAGAGAAAGCAGGAGCAGGATTAAAACTGCCCTGGCAGAACCATTTATTGCATCCAGCATGAAGAGCAAGTGCAGATGTGTCCAGCCAGGCTCCAGGTACAGAAAAGACCCTTTCAAGCAGTATATTGTGATTTTGAGGAGGATGACAGATTTGGGCCAAAGCACAGCCCAATATTCAAGATACAAAAAAAAATGAATAACCTAAAAAAATACATTTAAATGAAACTTGTGTGAATATTTGCCACTGCTCTAAAATCCCTCTTCCTGCCACAGCTTGTCCATGCAGCCTCAACCACAGTTCTTGTCAAATGAAGATAGAGACTGATAGCACAGCTACTGTTCTTATCTGAGAAGTCAGACCTGGCATCAAACCTGGGAAGAAGAGACAGAATTCTTTTTTTTTCCTCACAAAAAAAGAAAGTGGTGGTGTCACTGTCAGATATCCAACAGCAGAACCACAGGAAGGGTGGCTGGGGAGGGACCTCAGGATGTCATTTAGTCCTCCCACATAAAGCCAGCTGTCACCAGGGCTTGCCCAGGCCAGCAGTGCCTCAGCTCAGCCAGCTTCTGAAAATATTCAAGCTTTGAGTGACCTGTCCAAGGGTGGCACTGCCCACCCCACACATCTCCTTGTGCTGGCAATTTATCCACATACACATCTTCACCTTCTTCATTCCATTCCATTCACTGTGCCTCAGTTTTGAGGGGGCATTTACACTGCAAGAGAGTGAATTTAATGGCTAAAACATTGCTTGTGGTGTACAGAGGTTTATACTGGAACAGCAAGAAATCAAGTGACTCTCCTAAACAGTCCCACCACACTACAGAGGCAGGACCGTGACACTCCAGTGCCCAAGTCACCCCCTGCAGATATGTAACCTGCATATTGGTTGGTTAATGCCAACCAAATCAGTCAGGAAATCCATATGAGGAAGATTTGCTAAATATTTGGGGGTTACATGTCTTTTGTATGATCTTTATCAAGAGTGAGATCCCAAAGGAGTCAGCAGATGTTCTTATTCAACAGATGAGGAAGCAGAAGAAGATTAAATATGTGCTGTGAGCAGGCAGCAGTGACTAACTGAGCCTTCCCCAGGGCAGTGCTTTTATTTGGGCTCAATAGCATGATATTCAGCCCAGAAATGGGTTCTGTGATCCTTAACATTTTCATGGAATTCAATTTCAGCTTGGCTCCCTGTTGACTGCCACAGGAATTGCTGCTTCCCATGGAACACCACTGTCTTCATGGTGCTGACATCTCGGACCTGCAGGAAGAGAAACCAAACCATTTTATCTCAGCAGGCTACACTTTGAAATAAGTACCTAAAAAATACTGGAGACTTGCAGACTGGTCACTCAGGGAAAAAGCTGTGCTACCAAGGTTAGAAGAAATACAGTAGATATCAGAAATTCTCATTCCCATCTACATTTACACAACAGAGATCAGAGTCCCTGATCTGTGACTGAACTGTGCATCTGGGTGGAAATCTCTAAAGGAGATGGGTTTGTCTTCATCCAAATCATTCCACGGGGGTTCCTGCCTCCTCACCAGGATGTAGTTGAAGTGTGTCTGGTTGCCCTCAGGGCCCAGGTCAGTGTTGAGGGCACGGATGGAGATGCGCTGCCGCGGAGCCACCGTGATGAAAGTCCGACACACGACCTCCTGCCTCTCATCAGGCAACTGCACAGGATTCACTATTTCACCCTGGGGGCCAAACAGCTGCTGGTCACAGTCTGAAAGGGCAAAGGGAGAAGAGAAGATGGCTTAGAGGGGTATCCAGCACCTCCAAGAGAGAAATCATTTAAATTAAACACAGGCAGAACAGTCTCTATAGGCATTTTCATCTGGGAACCTTCAAGCATCAGCAAACACCTGTGGGAGGATTTGCTTTAAAACAAAGGGGGAGACCACAATTAATACTGATTCCAACACTCCTCAAGAAGGGTAGTTGCTAAAAATGAAGCAATATTTCCATATATTTCCATAGGCAACCACCATTCATGGAGTCCTGTGGGCCTTAATCTAAAGCAAGAGCAAAACTTTCAGTACAGTACCTTGGTAATATTTTTTGGTTGCAGTTCTGCTGTTGTACTGCAGAATGACCCCATTTCCTGGCAGCACAACACGCTGTTTCACAATCAGTGTGTTGGTTCTGGAATTTATCAGTGACAGAGGGAGCTTCCTGCAGCCTGTCCGCCACATCATTCGCCCAGAAAACAGCAGGACCTCACCTGGAACGGATGAGCACAGAGCCTAGAAACACTTTTATTTTAACTAAAAGCCACAGTCCATCTTATATATCAGGTCTGGAATCAAGTAATTTCTGCATCTTGTTTCTATCTTATCAGAATCTGTCATGAGAACAGGCCAGTTAACTAATCTAACTGCTGATTCCAGCTAGAGGGTACATTTTAGTTTTATAACAGGCCAAAACAAGCATCTTCCTTAACCCCATAAGCTCCTTTCATCTCATATCTACCAACAAAACAGGTAAGAAACCACTGTGTGAGGGGAGGACAAGCAGCATCTTCATTTTGTTCCATCTGGCAACAACTTGATGGACTTGTAAAAACTCAGTTAAACGGTTTCAGAGATTAGAGAGGCTCTGGGGAAGCCAGAGCTTTTCAAGGCACAGAAAAGGTGCAGTTTGAGATGCAGCTTTGCTAAAGGGCCAGGCTGGATCCCAGATCTCCAGGCAGTACCTGCACTGCAGTTGAGGGAACTCTCCAGGATGGTGACCAAGATCTCCTCCCTCAGGGGACGCCCGATGGCCACCGTGCAGTCCCTGCTCTCCGTGCCTGTCATGTTGATGATGCCAGTGGCACTGAGAAAGAGGTTTCCACACACACCTGCACAGTGGATACAGGTGAGAAACACACCCAGAAGAAACCACAGGAAAACAATTCCCTTTTTGGCACATTGAATAGGTAAGGTTACACATTCTGGGTAAAGCACAGGAAGAGCCACAGAATCCCAGAACCACAGAACATCCTGAGTTGGAAGGGACCCACAAGGGTCATGGAATCCAGCTCCTGGCCCTGCTCAGGAGATGTGATCACATCACATCTCATGTGCCTGAGAGTGTTGCTTAAACACTCCCTGAAGTCTTGAGCTGCTGTCCCAAATCAGAAGAGTTTTGGGAAGCACAGGGAAGAGAGTCACTGTTCCCAGCTCAGGTAACAAGGACGTGCTGGAACAGAGGGTTTTCCCTCCCAGCCAGATGTATTCCCTCCCATGCTCCTGTCCCTGTCTGGCAGCAGGATCACCACAGCCCAGCTGCACACAAGAAGCTCCTTTTGGCCACGTCCTCCTCACCTCGACCAGGCTCTGTCTGCTCCCAGGGCCCAGCAGACAGAGGGACATCCAGGTCCTTGTGTCTGTGCTCTGTGGCAGCTGCAGCTGTTGCCAGCTGTGTGGCTGGTGTCACTGGCTGCAGCTCTGGCCCAGGGGACAGGGTCCCCTCCTGCTCAGGACAGGGCCCTGTGGAGCAGCCACGCACCACGAGGGCCTTGGGGAAGTGCCGGCAGAAAAGGGGGTTCACGGGCTTGCGGGTCAGAGAGCTGAGGCAGAAATCCTGCCTGGTCTGAATGCCATTTCCACAGGATGTTGAACACTGCAACAAACAAGAAGAACAAACCCACAGGCTTTTCCCCCTGCATTCCAGTTGGTATTTGGAAATAAATGCATTGATAAGCTCATGCATGATCTGTGAGGGGTTCACTGATGCTCTTCTACCATTTGCCCTTGTCAGTGCTCTTGTTCCATCAGCTATAAGATGCCCCACCTTCCAGGGGACCTTCCAAACTATATATTTAAATTGCAGAACCACTTCCTAAAAAAATCCCAAAATATCTGCATTCCAGGAGAAAACATGCCAAAACCATTTCTAAGCTGCAGCCAAAACTTTAGCTGAGGAAGGTGGGAAGCAAACCTACAGCTGCTAAACACAGGGCAGTGGAAAGGATGGAAAAGATCCCTGGAAAGAGTTTAGCATTTCTGTGGGAAGCCAACAGACAAGGCAGAAGTTGTTAATTCTCTCCTGCAGCCTCCAGGGAAGGGAAGAGCTGGAAAACTGCTGCATCTGAGGGGGAGCAGGTACCTCTGACCACTCGCTGAAGCTCCACTCGTAAGAGCACGCTCGGATGACACAGGGGACACTGGTGGGGGGCTTCTCTGCCACGGGGCACAAATGTTCCTCCTGCAAGACCTCCTGGCCATGGAGGAGCTGCACACAGGTGACCAGCTGCACTGCTAAGCCCAGCCCACAGCTGGAGGAGCAGGGCCCAGCTGGGGTTACCTTCCACCTGACAGGGCAGGGAGGACAAAAAGTGAGTTAGTGATGAATCCCCACCCTGTCTCTCAGTGTCCATCACTGCCCTCCCCAGTGTGACACATGCAGGCTTAACTGCAGAAACAATCTAATCTCCCATCAAAACACACACACCACTGAACTCTCAGATCAGGATCACACCCAGAGGCCCTGGGAGTGGCATCATGAAAAGTTCCAGTAGCTTTCCAACCCCAACAACAAACAGGGCAAGGCAAGCTCACCACAAATCTTAAGGAAAGGGAGATGCATTTCTTTCAGTTTTCAGAGTAGCTGTTCCAGATTCTGAGAGTATTTAATTCTTGCTACTTTTCTTGATGGTCTCTGGAAACTGTACACTGGCAAATGTGTCACCACCTCTTGCAGCTATGGATTTGTTCCTGCTTTCCCAGAGTCATAAGGGATCGAGAGATTTTCAGTTTTTCTCTGGACTCAGCTTCTGAGGGCTACACTTATTTCTGTCTGAGATGTACCAGCCCAGGAAAGACTCTGAGTTTGTTGAGTATGGAGCAGTGCTACAGTTTTTGCAGCTGGCTGTGCTTCCAAAGAAGGGGAGAAGGTGGATAAAAGCCTGACCCTTTACCATGTCCCTGCAGACA